AGATTTCTGTAGGTCTTTAGCTGACACTCTGGGATTCTTCTTTACCTCATGCAGCATTTTGCGCTGTGCTCTTGCAGTCATTTTTACAGGACGACCAAGCCTAGGGAGAGTAGCAACAGTGCTAAACCTTCTCCATTTGTAGACAGTCTGTCTTACCGTGGACACATAAAACATCAAGGCTTTTGGAGATACTTTTGTAACCCTTTCCAGCTTCATGCAAGTCAACAATTCTTGATTGTAGGTCTTCTGAGAGCTCTTTTCTGCGAGGCATGGTTCATATCAGACAGTGCTTCTTGAAACCAGCAAACCCAAAACAGGTGTGTGTTTTTTTAAGGGCAGGACAGCTGTCAGCAACACATCCAATATCATCACACTGATTGGAGTCAAGGTTGGCTCACTCCTGGCTCCAATTAGCTCTGGGAGAAGTCATTAAGCTAGGGCCTCACATACTTTTCCTCCCTGCACTGTGAATGTTTACATGTTATGTGCAATTAAACCATGGCAACATCTAATGTTTGTTTAGTATTATGTTCAGCAGACTGTGTTCTTCTATTGTTGTGACTTAGATGACGTTCAGAGCACATTTTATGCCCAATTCATGCAAAACTCCACGTAATCCCAAGGGGTTCACATACTTTTTCTTGCAACTGTATACTGCATGTTGAAATGCATTTTTATTACAAAATATATGAAAAATATTTTTAAAAACACATTTCAAATATACTGTATGTCTTTAAAAATGGAAATCTACATTTTTGGAATGCATTTACAAATATATGTAAAAATATGTTAAAATGACTTCTTTTATATGTTAAAAAAATCTTGAAGAATATATTTTAAAACAATATATTTTTAAAAATATATATTTTTTTAAATATATTCTTCAGATTTTTTTGTTTTAGACATAAAAGAAGTCATTTTAACATATATTTTTACATATATTAGTAAATGCATTCCAAAAATGTAGATTTCTATTTTGAAAGACATACAGTATATTTGAAATGTATTTTAAAAAATATTTTTCATATATTTTGTAATAAAAATGCATTTCAACATGCAGTGTATATATTATTATTTTTTTTCAAATATATTGAATACGGACAAAATTGTAGCATTTTAAATATATGGCAATATATTTGGGAACAATATTTTTAAAATATATTTCAGATATATTTTTCTTCCATGTGGGTAGGTGCCAGCTGTCACAATGCAATAGCAGGCTGGGGAGATTCCTTCTGGGTTTTATTGCCAAAGTTCAAGGCTCCATTCACACCAAGGCGTTTTTTAGTGCTTATTGCAGAAACACACTACAGTTCATTTAACATTTCCATTTCCTATGGAATGTGTTCGCATCTATCTATCTTTTTGAGCTGCTGCATTTTTGGAAAGGGTCAGGGACTTTTCTAAAAGCAAAAAGCAAGGTTTTTGCTACAATAGAGTTCAATGGAGAATTTGCTGAAATCCATGGTAGTGGGTTTTTGCTGCGTTTTGAATTTTTATTCTGCCCAGCAAAAAAACAAATCCACTTTAAACAAAAAAAAAAAAAAGCTGAACAAAACACGGTAAAACACATCAAAAGCGCATCAAAAACAAATCAAAAACGCATGTAGAAAAACGCTAAACGAACTGCAAAAAGCACTGCAAAACGGACAAAAATTAAACTGCATAGGTGTGAATGAACCCTAATTGAACAAGCTAAAGTTAGAAGCTCACTGGCTACCATGCCGCCTTCTGAGTGCACCGGTTTTAGTAAATCCCCTCCAAGTGATTGTAGCCACCGTACTGGCAGGATCCCCAGGTGAACATAAAGGGACATAAGAAAAATAATGTAGCCACTACATCTAAGGACTAGTAAAGTACACTGCAATATATTGCTTTAAGTATTTATACTGTACATCACTATTTTAACCACTTCCCGTCTGGCCCATGTATATAATCGGCCGAACGGGAGCAGTGCAGGGGTGGGTGGCCATTTATAAACGGCCTCCCCGCTCCCTGCTTGTGCCCGCTCCCTGGGAGCGTGCATCAGAGGCGTAGCTAGGATATTTTGTGCCCGGGGACAAACTATAAAATTGGCGCCCCAGCCCCCCTCCCCATTTAATCACATCAGTGACACCAATGATGGGGCACTATTCCTCCCACTGACACCAATGACACTTACCTTGCTGACCCCTGCTCCAGCATAGTCTCCTTCCCTCTCCCATCCACAGCCAGCATACCTGGTTGTAGCAGCACCATCTGCACAGCACACTTACCTGTCAGCTGTTTTCTTCACTTGTTCTGACCGCTCCCTCACTCGATCTTCGCGCTGCCGCTCGGCTCCTCCTCACCAAGCTCCGCCTCCTCGCAGGTGATTGGCCGCCTGTGTGCCTTTCCTGAGCTACAGTTCTGGTGCCCAATCACCGGTGTGAGGAGGCAGAGCTTGCAGAGGGAGGTACAAGCTGCCATAGGCTGTCCAGTGATTCCGAGGGTGTGGCCAGATGACAGGGGCAGCACACATCGCGTCCAGGGAAAAGAAGACACCGGACCTGTGGACCTCACTACCCCTCATCCAGCAGCGCCTCCTGGACTGGATCGTCGTGGGACTGGGACACGGAGCCAGGTAAGACACAGCAGCCCGCTGCCCGCCCCTGTACTAAGTGTCCCTTCTGCTGGAAGGGGGGGCGGCGGCACCGTTCCTCCCCCCTAAAAAGTGCCTCCCTAGGCAAATGCCTTGTTTGCCTTGCGGCAAATACACCCTTGGTTGGTTTTGGTGCCCCTGTACCTTGGCGCCCGGGTACATATGTAGCCCCCTGCCCCCCCCCCCCCCCCCAGCTATGCCTCTGGCATGCATCACCGCGACCCAGTGCCCGCTGTGTCCTCTGGACAAAGAGGAACACCGATCATTGTACGGGACCCCTGTGTGAGGTCCCGATCATGTGATCACTGATTAGCCAATAATAGTACTAGTAAGCAAGATGTCACTTCTGAAATCTGTGAATGATCACAGAGGTCACATGGTACGAGGCTATTCACAACAGCCTTGTACCATGTGACAAGCTGTGACCAATCACAGCTCACACAGTGTTTCTCAATGGCTGCAGGAATGCAGCCAGAGAGAAGGAGACATTATTGCTTTTACAGCCTTTAGGGATGTAAAAGCAATCAGTGTAAAAAAAAAAAAAAAATCTTCATCACCTCCCACAAGTAGTACAGTGTCACTATGGTGAAATTGTACTGCTAGGGTGTCCGTGTGTAAAAATTTTTTTATATATATATATATATATATATATATATATAAATGTTAAAAAAAGTTTGAAAAATTATAATTTTTGGTTATAAACTAATCCGGGTTATTTTTTTTTTTTTTTTACTAAAAAGATAACTGAATACATTTTGGCCAAGATTTATGAAGAAAGATTATTTATTTGCAAAAGAAAAACACTTTTTTTCAAAATTTTTGGACTTTTTCATATATATAGCAAAAAAAATAAAAAATCCCAGTGGTGAATAAATACCACCAAAATAAAGTTTTATCTGTCTCAAAACAATGCTAAAAAATTCATATGGGTACAGTGTTGCATGACTGCTCAATTGTCATTCAAAGTGTGAAAGCACTGAAAGCTGAAAATTGGCCTGGACAGGAAGGAGAAGAAAGTGTTTGGACTTGAAGTGGTTAAAATGAAAGCTAGAAAAAAAAATGCAAGTACATAAAAACGTGAAAGTCACATCTGGTGGAATAACAACCTAAAATATGTTTATTGAAAATGTAGTACAGTTTTCTTGAAAACAATCCTTACATAAGCCCTGTTTATTGTGATCCTGATTCCTGGGTACAAAGCACCTAGGTGAAGTAACCATACCGAATAAAAGCTCTTTATCAGCAAACCTCAAACTAGAATGTCACCTAGTATGTCTACCATTCACTAATCAAATTCCACATTTATAAAGTAATTGGTAACATCTCTGAACCTTACACGCAGTGCGGCTGTTACTTTGGAATTCTAAAATGTGCGTTTGTATAACTCACAATGCAAGGCCATGACAATGCACACTTCAGATGGTTCAGACATTTTCCTTCCTGACCTGAAGAAATTAGTGTTCACTTAATGCATTGTTTTGTGCATGATGATCCACTCCACCATTCTTTGTTGAGTCGTGCAATGTGTTTTCTTATAACCTTTTTACTAGGACACAAAGAAATCCGCTTCAGAATTAACATTTAACCACTTGCCTACAGGGCACTTATACCCCCTTCCTGCCCAGGCCAATTATAAGCTTTCAGCACTGTCACACTTTGAATGACAATTGCATGGTCATGCAACACTTTACCCATATTAAATTGTTATAATTTTTTTGAGACAGATAGAGCTTTCTTTTGGTGGTATTTAACCCTTTCACGCCGAATCGTCCCGGTGTGAAGAGGAGTTCCTGCGCTGGGAGGTGGGCGGGATGGGGCGAGGCTTAGTGTCATGTGGCCAGCGTGACGTCATGTCACGGCCAGTCACATGATCGAGAAAGGTCCCGATTGAAAGAGCAGACCGGGACCTTTCCGTGAGTATTGCACATGTGTGCTGGGAGCACGCAGTGCGCCGCTCTCTCAGCACATATGTTTTTTGTTACATCAACGCAAATGTGCAGCCGCTCGGTGTCTTGGCCCAAACGCACATTTGCGTGCGGCCAGCGTGAAGGGGTTAATCACCTCTGGGTTTTATTCTTTGCTAAACAAACCAAAAACAACTGAAAATTTTGAAAAAAAAATGTTTTATCTTAGTTTCTGTTATAACATTTTGTAAATAAGTGATTTTTCTCCTTTACTGATGTGCGCTAATGAGGCTGCACTGATGAGTACTTATAGGCGGCACTGATGAGGAGGCACTGGTACGTGGCACTGATGGGCATTGACAGGCATCACTGATGGGCACTGAAAGGCAGCACTCATATATGGCACTGATAGGTGGCACTGATATGCGGCATTGATAGGCAGCACTGACTGGCACTGATAGGCGGCACTTACTGGCACTGATAGGCAGCACTGATTGGCAACACTGATAGGCGGCGCTGACTGGCATTGATAGGTAGCACTGAAAGGGATCTGAGATGAGCACTGATAGGTGGCATTGATGTGCACTGGTAGGCACTGATATGTGGCATTGATGTGGCACTGGCATTGATGGCACTAATGCACTAATGGGCAATGACAGGTGGCATTGATGGACACTGACAGGTGGCACTGCTGGGGCTACACTGATCATCAGGGCACATTGATCATGAATGCCCTGATGATCAGTGTAGATGTCCCCTCTGAGTAATGTCAGCGTGACAGCTCGTGAGGAAAGAAATGCAGATAACCGGCATTTCCTTATTTACATGTGATCAGCTATGATTGGACACAGCTGATCACATGACCGGGCCAACGTCTTCGGCTCTTTCTGTTGATCGGTGATCCGCTGTGTCCCAGGGACACAGCGCTCCACCAATTGCCGCACTGTGCGCCGCAGGGGCGCGCATACATGGTTAGAGTGGGGGACGTCATATGATGCTAGAACAGGGGTATACCTGCGGCTCTCCAGCTGGTTAGGACTACAAGTTCCATCATGCCTCTGCGAGTCATACTGTAACTGTCAGTTTTGTAATGTTGCAATGCCTCATGGGAAATGTAGTTAGCCGCAGGTTGCCTATGATGAGAACCACCTTGCGCCCATCATTTCCTTATATGGTGGGTGGGAGGTGGTTAAAATTAATTCCTTTCAGGGAAATGATAATGTTTTTTCACTGAGCACATACTGCAAATCATAAAGCCGCCCATACAATGATTGAAATTTGGCCGATTCAGCAGGGACTGGTCATATTTTGATCCATGTATGGGCAGGGCAGTTGTACAGAAGTTGATCTACCGGTTGATTTTGTACAACTGCCCTGCCAGATTTTTGCTCCTCGATCAGTGCTGCTGGCTATAGCTGGCAGCACTGATCAGTGTATTCTGGTGGTGGGGAAGTCTTCCCATTTTTAGAATACAATAGCACAGTGGGGAGGATTCCCCCATCCACATGGAAGAATCAAGTCATTTTATTCTTTCTTTCAACTCGCTGGTTAAATGGAAAAAATTGATTCATCTATGGACTGCTTGATTATAGTATTCTTACAAAAGAATACCAATCCAGCGCTCATAGGTCACCCTAGAAAGTTGAATGTGCCTATGTACAAAGTGGATGTTGTCTAAGATTGTTCAATGTCATACAATAATACCTCAAGGATCTCCATTCAACCAAAGTCTTACACTGCAAAAATCCATTTGGTTGATACAAACAAGGCTAGCAAAAATATGCTAGATAAAAATGACAGTGGCAATGAACAGGTTAAAAAATAGGGAGTCCAAGCTTACATTGTCCCTAGGTCCTGTGTGCATGCTGGAGGTAATAGCAGAAAAACAGTGGCCATGGGTGGCTATAAGGAATGACTGATGTACAAGGCACTGTGCCAAACTGAAGAACTCCTCACAATGAAAAATTCCAGCCTCTGGTGGAAAGAGTCACGTAGAAAGAAAGCCACATAATCGGGGACACACAGTGGGGCACTGCATGCCAGAAGAGTGACATAGGACGTCTCCACGACAATGCGTTTAAGGCCATGGCCCCTTCTCAAGTCATCCTGACTAAATTTATGCATTTTGGTATAGTTTCTAAGCACCACCACTCCAGATGGTTCCATGTATAGCAGTCAGGGAGAACATCCTATTGTGGATTTTTAATCTCTTTCAATATATCTACAAGCCACTGGACCTAATATGCACTGGAGTATAGCATCAAGTCAATTAAACTCCTGGGATATTGATCAGTTCAGTTAAGTAGCAGAGGGGGTTGTTAATCATTTTCAGCTGCTGTGGTGTTAATGAAATTAACAGGTGCACTAGATGGGCAACAATGAGGCAATCCCCGAAAATGGAATGCTTTTATAGGTAGAGGTCACTGACCTTTTTTTCCCTACTCATCTTTTCTGACTGTTTCTCATTAGTTTTGCATTTAGTTAGGGTCAGTGTCACTACTGGTAGCATGAGGCGATACCTGGACCCTACAGAGGTTACAATGGCATTCCGACTCCTCCAGGATGGCACATCAATACATGCCATTGCCAGAAGGTTTGCTGTGTCTCCCAGCACAGTCTCAAGAGCATGGAGGAGATTCCAGGAGACAGGCACTTACTCTAGGAGAGCTAGACAGGGCCGTAGAAGGTCAGTAAACCCATCAGCAGGACTGGTGTCTGCTCCTTTGTGCAAGGAGGAACAGGATGAGCACTGCCAGAGCCCTACAAAAGGACCTGCAGCAGGCCACTGGTGTGAGTGTCTCTGACCAAGAAACAGACTTCATGAGGGTGGCCTGAGGGCCCGATGTCCTCTGTGCTCACTGCCCGACACCATAGAGCTCGATTAGCATTTGCCATTGAACACCAGAATTAGCACCAGAATTGGCAGGTCCGCCACTGGCGCCCTGTGCTTTTGACAGATGAGAGCAGGTTCACTCTGAGCACATGTGACAGACGTGAAAGGGTCTGGAGAAGCCGTGTAGAACGTTATGCTGTCTGTAAAATCATTCAGTATGACTGTTTTGGTAGTGGGTCAGTGATGGTCTGGGGAGGCATGTCAATGGAGGGACACATAGACCTCTACAGGCTAGACAATGGCACACTGACTTCCATTATATATCGGGATGAAATCCCTGGACCCATTGTCAGATCCTTCGCTGGTGCAGCGGGTCCTGGGTTCCTCCTGGTGCACCATAATGCTCAACCTCATGTGGTGAGAGTATGCAGCAGGTTTCTGGAGGATGAAGGAATTAATACCATTGAATGACCCGCACAACTGCCTGTCCTAAATCCAATAGAGCACCTCTGAGATATCATATTTCAGTCCATTCGATGCCGCCAGGTTGTACCTCAGACTGTCCAGGAGCTCAGTAATGCCCTGGTCCAGATCTGCAAGGAAATCCCCCAGCACACCATCCGTCATCTCATTAGGAGTATGCCCTGACTTTGTCAAGCATGCATACAAGCACGTGGGGGCCATACAAACTACTGAGGACCATTTTGAGTTGCTGCAATGACATTTCAGCAAAATGGACTTGCCTACTGTGTCATTTTTTTACTTTGATTTTCGGGGTGTTCCTACCTACCTCTGTAGGTTAATAATTTTCATATCCATCAAACGATGGGGCATCCTTACATTCCTAACACATTACCCAGTTCATATCAGTATAGATATCCAGCATGATATTTTTCCCCACTGAGATCTGATGTGTTTTCAGAGTGTTCCTTTAATTTTTTTTTGAGCAGTGTAGTATCTCCCAGCACCGAACGGTTTTTGCGTGTATGCTTTTGATTGTAGTATTAACCTTCAAGCCAAAGTGACATTTGAATGCTTACATGCTTTCATATTTCTATTATGAGATCTATAGAGGCCACTAGTAGCAGACCTGTATTTTAACACAGTTACTTTGACTCCTATGTTAGCAAATGTTAAAGTAGGTTAAAAGGTTCAAACTCCTTTTTTTTTTTACCATTCTCCATTCTATTCAGAACTAAAAAAAAGTTTTGTCTTTAGTTATATTTAGGTTTAATGTAGAACAGCGCTCAAAGATAACTCCTGGCAGATATAAAAGGCAGCATTTTCTGCATTACATGACTTGAGGGAAATTCTAACTAAACCACTATAACGAGAAAATATGACTAAATGTACAGTATATACAGTTGCAAGAAAAAGTATGTGAACCCCTTGGGATTACGTGGAGTTTTGCATGAATTGGGCATAAAATGTGCTCTGAACGTCATCTAGGTCACAACAATAGAAGAACACAGTCTGCTGAACATAATACTACGCAAACATTAGATGTTACCATGGTTTAATTGCACATAACATGTAAACATTCACAGTGCAGGAAGGAAAAAGTATGTGAACCTTTGGACTTAATAACTGGTTGACCTTCCTTTGGCAGCAATAACCTCAACCAAACGTTTCCTGTAGTTGCAGATCAGACCTGCACAACGATCTGGAGTAATTTTGGACCACTCCTCTTCACAAAACTGTTTCAGTGTAGCAATATTCTTGGGATGTCTGGTGTGAATCGCTTTCTTAAGGTCATGCCACAGCATTTCAATCGGGTTGAGGTCAGGACTCTGACTGGGCCACTCCAGAAGGCGTATTCTGTGCTGTTGCAGCCATTGTTTTGTTGAATTACTTTTATGCTTTGGGTTATTGTCCTGTTGCATCACCCATCCTCTGCGGAGCTTCAGTTGGCGGACAGATGGTCGTACGTTTTCCTGCAAAATGTCTTGATAAACTCTGGAATTCATTTTCCCATCAATGACAACAATCCGTCCAGGCCCTGAGGCAGCAAAGCAGCCCCAAACCATGATGCTCCCTCCGCCATGTTTTACAGTGCGGACGAGGTTTTGATGTTTGGTGTGCTGTGCCTTTTTTTCTCCACACATAGTGTTGTGTGTTCTTCCCAAACAACTCAATCTTGGTTTCATCTGTCCACAGTATAGTTTGCCAGTAGTGCTGTGGAACATCCAGGTGCTCTTTTGCAAACTTCAAACGTGCTGCAATATTCTTTTTGGACAGCAATGGCTTCCTCCGTGGTGTTCTCCCATGTACTCCATTCTTGTTTAATGTTTTCCTTATTGTAGATGTGTCAACAAAAATGTTAGCATATGTGCCAGAGATTTCTGTAGGTCTTTAGCTGACACTCTGGATTCTTCTTTACCTCATGCAGCATTCTGCGCTGTGCTCTTGCAGTCATTTTTACAGGACGACCACGCCTAGGGAGAGTAGCAACAGTGCTAAACTTTCTCCATTTGTAGACAGTCTGTCTTACCGTGGACACATGAACATCAAGGCTTTTGGAGATACTTTTGTAACCCTTTCCAGCTTCATGCAAGTCAACAATTCTTGATCGTAGGTCTTCTGAGAGCTCTTTTCTGCGAGGCATGGTTCACATCAGACAGTGCTTCTTGAAACCAGTAAACCCAAAACAGGTGTGTGTTTTTTAAGGGCAGGACAGCTGTCAGCAACACATACAATATCATCACACTGATTGGAGTCAAGGTTGGCTCACTCCTGGCTCCAATTAGCTCTGGAGAAGTCATTAAGCTAGGGCCTCACATACTTTTTCCTCCCTGCACTGTGAATGTTTACATGTTATGTGCAATTAAACCATGGCAACATCTAATGTTTGTGTAGTATTATGTTCAGCAGACTGTGTTCTTCTATTGTTGTGACTTAGATGACGTTCAGAGCACATTTTATGCCCAATTCATGCAAAACTCCACGTAATCCCAAGGGGTTCACATACTTTTTCTTGCAACTGTAAGCTGAGAATTGTGATTAATTATAAAGTGATACTAAAAATATAAATATAGCATGAAATGAACGGTAATACATTCAAAATTTTACAAACTGTGTAA